CGTGCTTAACTCAGGAAGGAAACTTGAGATGGATATTTCCCAGGACCCCGGCTGTCATGTTCAAAGTCAAATTTCGTCAAAATAAACCAATTTGTTTCAGAGATCAATGTATGCTATGGCGTCAGGCATCATATTTGTTTTACCTTTCATGTTGTAATTTTCGAACCAGCACGATGCGTCGTGTGTTTGAGACAGCATGAAAGGATCTCGTTCGCTGTAATGGCAAGTTTCGTCACTCACATTCAAGCAACCGGCGACAATTAGACCAGTTGGCCTTTTGTATCCTTCTGTTTGTTTCTCTACAACGTACTTTGACATTCTGTCGTCTGCTCCTACAGCCCTTTCACTGTCTCGGTGAATTGCTCAACCTCTCGTTCCAGGCTTGTCTAGTGTTTAAGTTCTCATCCCACATCGGTTCCACTCAGTAGGAATGTCGTCATCTGCAAAGTACTGTTAAAAGCGGCGTTAAACCCAACTCACTCACTCACTTTGAAAAGAGCGGCGACAAAGAAAGCATTCATGCTATCAAATCAATTGGGATGATATAGAAATTAATACACGAGTTCGTGTATCATGATGATCTGACGACACCTTTTGTTTGTTTGTTGTTGAACGCCGCACTCAACAACATACCATCAATATGAAGACGGTCTCTAAATAGTCGAGTCTGGTCCAGACATTTCATGCTTGCCGTAAAAGGCGACTACGCATGCTTGTCGAGTCATTGACATCATGCGGATCGCTCTACGCAATTGGGATAAGATGACTTGCATCAAACAAGTCATCGAGCCTAACCACCTGATCCCGTTAGTCACCTCTAATGCCAAGCATAGTCGTCTCTTACGGCAAGTGTGGGTTGCTGAAGACCTATCCTCTACCCGAATCTTTACGGGTCTAACGACACCGATTTCAAGAAAAATGTAAACGTGTGTTCTTTGCAATTTCCCGAAATAATGTCAACAATCCTTCGTCAATTCAGTATGATAAGATGTAGTATTTATGGATCTCTTCGTTTTAAAGCATATCTCAATAATCCATCGCAAGATTACGTAATGGAGATCATGAAAAGCTGTGAAAATCCGGAAATAGGATCAACGAGCTCCGAAGGGGCGAGTTAATTCTTCTTTCTGAATCAACAGATTCTAATGATTTTATCTTGACTTAAACCGTGTTATAGGTGATGTATTATTTCTCTATAATTTTGCATATTGACCTGTATTTGCGTCAGGCTTACTTGTTTAAAATGGACGTTCAGACTGGCGAGTGATTTCCAGGCTCAAAGTAAACTGCAAGTATAAGAGTGTGACGTCATCATAATGGTTTAATACGGAAGGAGCCGATAATTTTTTACATGAAAGTGTTCATTTCATATTCTTTACTGTTATTGTATCAAACTCGGGTTGATATTTGATAAAAAAAGATATCTCCAACACCTGGTGCCAATTTAATGTTGTCACTTTGAATTGAGCAGGACTGAAAAAGTATCATACCATTTTCAATCCTGTTCTGCCTTCAGCGCTTAACAATTGATAGCTGGGTTGTTAATTGCAAAAAAATCGTATTTCATTGTGGCTCGAACCGGATACCGTACTTTCCGACCGGGAATTGTGTCTTCATTAAGGTTGTTGAGATTGCCAACTGTTACACCTGCAGCTGCTGCTAAGTACACGTGGCTAATGATATTTATTCTCCTATAAAATAGATAACTATTATCTCACATAAAAAAGATGGAAACTCCTACATTACATGTTACATTCGTAAACGCCTATTAGATTTCTATGACTACAGTTGGCTAATTTGTTTTTTTTTACAATCCGCTCCGCGAGGATTTCAGTGGAGATCCTCGAAACCAAAGCTTTATCGTCAACACTGCCAATGTCGGGGTTGAGGAACAGATTAACGTTATCTTAGCAGGACATAATAAACTCCAGTTAAACAATGTAATGTGTCTGAAGAAGACTGTCAAGGGAAGGATACTCTTTGTATACGATGGCCAAGATGTCCAATGAGTTTTGGTACTTGCTGCAACCATTATGCAGTAAGGTACCCCTGTCGACTGAAGCTTCGACTTCAATGTAAACTAAAAGTAATGTTACCCGGAGGATGTGACTTAAAATGGTTGTTTTCGATTGTTGTTTTTCCCACTTGTGCTACTATTTAGCTGTGGCATAAACTAAAAGGGGAGCAATGGTTCCCTTGATAGAAATCAACTCCGACGCTCAGTGTTATGTGCGACGACACTCCTGCCCTACTGCACGAACAATTCGTCATGGGGGTAATACTGGTATATTTGTTTACGTTTATGTGTTTACTGAACATATAATAAAGGTAACATATTGAAGACTAAATCGCCAAGAAAAAGTACACTCTTCAAAAAAAGAAACGCACATGTAGTATGTAGTTCATTGAACCTGACTACACATAAATCCGGTATATAAATTGGATATATGTTGTTGGAAAATGTTGGTGGCCTGATATTCGACAAACGGTGCCATTGTCGATTTGCAATGTTTAAACGGCATTGTTTTCACACTTGTTAAAAAATGTCATGGAGGAAAACAGTAAAGCAAAATGCACGTGCAAGACTAGTTATGGCATTCGTAACTCGTGGTAGTGGCTATATAAAGGCAAGTTCGAAAATGCCGAGACTCAGCGCTGCCGGTCGGAACATCACCATAGGACGTATCCAAAGAGGGGAATCGCAGTCTTCTGTCCACCACAGCACCATTTGCCGCCCTCAGGACCGATACACACAGTTCAATTCCACCGCAGAACCGTCCGAGAACCGGCCGACCAAAAGTTACCACCCCTGCACAGGATCGCAACATTGGACTGTTCCAATTACGTCATCGCAATGCCACGGCTACGGAGACTGCAGGACGCATACCTGGTTTGAGGAGGATATCGGACCAGACTGTCAGGAACCAACTTCGCGAGGCTGGAATCCGACCCAGAAGACCAGTTATCGTCCGTGTTTTGCAACAGATCCATCGACAGCAACGCTTGCGATGCCTTTGTTCAACGACATCATGTGACTATCTAGCTGAAAAATTTCATATTTGTATCTATGATATTAAAGTAAATTTATCGACTTTATTAGGTACCATAAATGTACTAATAATCTACCTGTGCGTTTCTTATTTTGAAGAGTGTATATTAAAAAAGTACCATCACGGAATCCAGTCAAGTTTCAGATGGTTCTAGAGCCAAAGCAAAGGCGGAAAAGGAGATTTTAATAGAAATGATATTGATGCTCTTTAGAAAGACTACAAATGACAAACTCCAAATTGTATCCCATAGGAAAAAAACCTTCGATTTGTGCATCACTGCACGTCTCTGGGGGAAATCGTGTTATTCAGCTGATTTAAACTATCTTCGGGAGATTCCAAGTCGATTTTCATTTGACAGCCCGGATACTCGTTTTAGAGAGGAGGACTTGGTGATTGAGGCAGCGGCTTACTTCCTAATTTCCTGAGTTTGAGAAAGATTTCATGCTGTCGCCGTACCTCGATGACAGAAGCATGGTGTCATCCATATATACGACAGGCCAATCTCTGGAGGGTACTGTCGTGATTAGGGAAGAGCGTTGGAACTGTGGTAGCTCTGATTAGTGTACTATAACTGATGATTCGTGCTTTTCATCCTGTCGTTAAGGATTAACCAAAAGTGTGTTACCGTCTATTAGCGGAAGCACATACATCACATTTCCAGTCGACGTATTTTCGGAAGCACATCATGAAGTGACATTATTCTGTGTTACGTTGTACATAGCATTAATGAATTTCAGTTGGATTTCTGTTGTGAGAAATAAGCAATTATTGTGAACTGTCAGCTATCATTACTCATTATTATATTATTACATTGAGTGAGTGAGTGAGCATGGTTTTACGACGCTTTTAGCAATATTCCAGCAATATCACGGCGGGGAGCACCAGAAATGGGCTTCACACCTTGTACCCATGTCGGGAATCGAACCCGGGTCTTCGGCGTGGCGAGCGAACGCTTTAACCACTAGGCTACCCGACCGCCCCTATTATTACATTGATTACAGATGTTAATGAAAACTGGCGCGGTCGAGTAGACTAGTGGTTAAAGCGTTCGCTGGTCACACCGAAGTTCCATTCCCGACATGGGTACAATGAGTGAAGTCCATTTCTGTTGTCCCCCGTAGAGATATTGCCGAAATTTTGCAAAGAGCGACGTAAAACCCTACTCAGTCACTAATGACAACTACCAGTCCTAAATTTCAAACAATCCAGAAGGCCTAATTAAGGGCAGTGTTATTTGATAAACAAATATTGCTGTTCAGGTTTCTTTGACCTAAGTTTATTATTTGGGAATTTTGGCATAGCTTACATTCATGTCTATTGCCAGTTGCCTTCATGCGGTGCCTTTGGGGCAGGGTTTAATTGCCGAGTGGGGCGTGGCACCCCAAACCTCCGTGGGTCAATGTTCATGTGCCTTTGTTCATGTTGTTTGAAAGGCTTCGTTTTCAACTGCAGAGATACAAGTAAAATTATAAAATTTCCATTTGGATCGTTTGATCATTGACAACAAAACCTCGAGACAAAGAGAAATTTAATCCTGATTTCGATGAATGTATTCATAGCTGAAAATAAATAATTTGCAAATCTAGATCTTTTCAGCCCCGTGAAGATCCGGGGTAGATAGAATAGGTCTTCAGGAACCTATGCTTGCCGTAAAAGGCGACTATGCTTGTCGTAAGAGACGACTAACGGGATCGGGTGGTCAAGCTCCCTGATTTGGTTGATGCATGTCATCGTATCCCAATTACGTGGATCGGTGCTCATGATGTAAATCACTGGATTGTCTAGTCTAGACTCGATTATTTTCAGACCGCTGTCATAAAGCTGTAATATTGCTGAGTGCGGCGCTAAACAAACAAACAAACAAGATTCTTTCAATTCAAATTCAGAGAAAATTAAATATAAATGTGCCATTGCCACTTGATGCACATGTATGATCTGTTCATGTTTCAGATTCTTTGAGACCGAGCCAGATATGAAATCGTTGTTCCCCAAAATCGTCCGGATGAACGAGGCGAACCAGCTGGAGTGGGATATGGACAGAGAGATGCTGCAGAAGCACGCTGTGACGGTGATGGAGGGACTCGGCGCTGCAGTCGAGAGTCTGGAGGACTCGGACTTCCTCAACAGCGTCCTTATATCGATAGGGCAGACCCACGTCAAGAGGAGCGTCAAACCCCAGATGTTGAAGGTAGTGGTATAATAATAATAATAATAATAATAATAATAATAATAATAATAATTTATCACCGTCTTCGCAATGCTTGTGGTTTTGAGCGACTAACGGGATCGGTCAGTCAGACTTGGTTGATGCATATCATCGATCCCAATTGAGTGGATCGATGCTAATGATATCAATCACTGGATTGTCTGGTCTAGACTCGATTATTTACAGACCGCCGTCATATAGCTGGAATATTGCTGAGTATTAAACAACAAAATAAACAACCAACCAGCAAACTTGTGGTTTTGACGCAGAGGTCGTTCCATGGTACTACCCAGAATATGTTGAGGGCGTCATGGAAATAGATAAATACAACATTCTTTGGAATAGGCCCGTATACAGCCTCAGACGTATCCAGGCCAACAAACCCGATCTTGTCCTTTTGAAATCATTTGTATTATTGAATTTTCTGTCGCTTTTGACACAAATGTGATTGACAGGATTCAGGAAAAACATGGCAAATATGCAGAGCTCGCTTTCGAAATCTCTCGCTTGCATCCCAAGTACCAAGTTGTCCGACTCTCCATTGGTCTCGGTGCCTGAGGTGGTTTGGTACCTCCCAATCTGTTCACTGACATTGGGAGAGTACCCGGGTTTGCTACCAGGAATAGAGCCCTTCTTACAATATGGGTAACGCAGAAGGCTGCACTGTTGGGGAGTTTTCACATCTCCGAAAAGTTCTTGGTGGGTTCGACTAGGCAGCGCTTACTAAGAGAAGTCCCATTCGCTGTCTGTCCTGTGTGTAGACGGGGCAAGGGCCCTGGGCAGATGATGGGCCTAACCAGCTTGACTGTGCCAGGATCACCCAAACCAAACCTTGCTGAATTTATTTATATTAATCTATATATAATAATAATGATGAAAATGATCAATATGTGACCCGTGAAGATTCAGGGGTAGAGCAACCCATGCTTGCCGTAAAAGGTGACTTTGCTTGTCGTAAAAGGCGACTCACGGGATCGGATGGTCAGGCTCGCTGACTTGGTTGATGCATGTCATCGATCCCAATTGCGTGGATCGATGCTCATGATATCAAGCGCTGGATTGTCTGGTCCAGACTCGATTATTTACAGACCGCCGTCATATAGCTGGAATATTGCTGAGTGCGGCGTGAAACAACAAACCAACCAATGATCAATTTGTAAGGCGCTTTTTATTGCAGGGGTGGTGGGGTAGCCTAGTGGTTAAAGCGTTTTCTCGTTACGTCGAAAGCCAGCGTTCAACATGAGTACATGTGTATGTGTGTCCCCCACCGTGATATTCCTGAAATATTGCAAAAGCGGCGTGAAACCCAACGCAACCCAACTAACATCAACACGTGATTACTAATAACTTAAATGGGCAGAGATTTTAGGTTGTATGAACATAAACGCACAGATATTTTTATATCAATGTCAGTAAATTAAGAATGATAATACTAATAATGATAATAATAATAATAATAATGATATATTATCTTTGAAAAGATTTCCAAGTACATTGTTTATGAAGTCCAAGTACAGTGTATATGGAGACCCGTGAAGATACGGGGTAGAATAGGTCTTCAACACCCCATGCTTGCCGTAAAAGGCGACTATGCTTGTCGTAAGAGGCGACCAACGGGATCGGGTGGTCAGGCTCGTTGGTTGATCCCAATTGCGTGGATCGATGTTCATGATATCAATCACTGGATTGTTTGGTCCGGACTTGATTATTTACAGACCGCCGTCATATAGCTGGAATATTGCTGAGTGCGGCGTTAAACAACAAGCCAAACCAAACCAATCCAAGTGTATGAGAGTTCGAGCTAAGCTTCTCAGCAGAAGAAAACCCATAGAAATGCAACAGAATCATTCTTAATTACAGACTTCATATGGGTAATTGAATATGGATTACTGTTAAAGGATTGCAAATGTTCCCCAAAAGTTTATTTTTAGTGTTGAAATAATCCACTCAAAGGTCGGGAGCGTTGTTGTTATGCTTGCATGCCCGAAATGCAAGGCCTAGCACTGCCTTTAAGCTATCACTTGTCAAACAAGAACCACTTTTAATACATAAGGTAGTGGCTATTTGTGACTCGTACCATATGTTCCCCTCTTCTTTCAGGTGAACACTTGATTTGCCTTTGCATGTGTTTATGATAGGGGCACGATACGCTGACCTGATATCACCATTTGAAAGTGATACATAAGCACATTTAGGACTCGTCCAATGGACCCTACTTTTGGTTGAGATTATGGAAATGTTTTTGTCGCTTTACTTTATTTATTTCACGTATCGCATTTCATGTATCATTTCTGTCCCCAGTTGTAAAAAGTGATTGCGTACCTCAGTTTTAATCGTTTGATACAGCCCCTTTGCGTGGTGTCTTTTTTATCCTTCGCCTAGACAATATCATTATTCCCATGTGTGAAACAGAGACACTCTTTCTTGTTCATTACTGGAATCAATTACTTCTAGATTCTACCATTCAACTTTTACGATTGAGTACAGTCATTTGAAACATCTGTTTTAATAAGTCGGTCCATGGAAAGGAAAGGTGCCGCCTCACATGCTGGGACTAGAATGTGAATATGAAACGAGAATAAAATGTGAATGAAGTGTGAATAACGAACAAGATATCTTAATACTTTATGATCACGCAAGCTGGGCAACTCACATCAACTATATCTGGTGTGCAGCTGGTCTAAGGCTGATTCTTTACACTGATGAGATATTTAAAATTACAGGACGAGCTAAACTACAGACTATAAGGCCCTGTAATGCATTTTAGACTTCATCAAAGCAAAATCTGTCTGCTACGAATGTAACCTGTCTGAATAAAGTCGTCCCCTATTATTAAGGAGAGCCAATCAATGTCCGTTTATATGTTCATCTTCCTAACTATTCGCGAAAAGTTTTTGATTTATAATCATGCGTTAACTCATGACACAGTTGCCGTTCAGACGCCTGATTGCAAAAAGGTTCTTCTTTAAAGGGTTCAGTTATGACATTGAAGAGATAAAAGTTGGAAATAAGATCAAAACATCCTATTCCGCTGATTTTGTCAAAATGATTTCCTTGATGAAATCTGTGTAATCTTGGTAATCCTTTTCAAGAGCATGTAAAATACAAAGAAAAACGTATTCAGCTGTTTTGGCATATAATAGGATTGACATTTGTAATCTGACATTGAAGATATCAGGAGACTAGGCATCTGTCTTCTATATGGCATTAAATGCGAATTGACAATCCCTTGATATTGCCTTTCGAAGGTTCTTTCTTAATGCTTTTCACAATTTTAGCTATGGTAGGCTATTGAAGTAACGTAAACATCAAAATCAGTTTGTAATACAAAGCCCTATCTCCTTAACAAGGATAGAAAGTTAGACATTACTGTTCTGATAACTCTTGAATCAGGTGTCAAAACTGAAATTAATCTCATTCCAGCGAAGGAGTTGCAATCGTCAATGTCATTATCATAATTTGTTGGTGGGTTGGTTGTTTTACGCCGCAGTCAGCAATATTCCAGCTATATGACTGCAGTCTGTAAATTATCGAGTCTGGACCAGACAATCCAGTGATTGATATCATGAGCATCGATCCACGCAATTGGGATCGATGACATGCATCAACCAAATCAGCGAGCCTGTCCACCCGATCCCGTTAGTCTCTTACGACAAGCATGGGTTGCTGAAGACCTATTCTACCATGGATCTTCACGGATTATTTTGGATTGGTATCAGGGGTACTGTATTTCCTAGTTTCATTGAAGTTTTAAATAGAGTAACTTTCCACCAGAGGCGTGTAAGCGTAATCACATGAAAAGGGAATACATTGATACATAACAGAAAAAAGCTGATTTACTGACTTAGAGTTAAACATTGTGGTAGGTATGCAGCATTAGTTTGAGAAACAGCTTTTTGTTTGCATAGTCTACAATGTCCTATTTTACTCAATCCATCGATCACTTGACAAAAGGTAAGGCACCGTGACGAATAACTTGTCATACTTCTGTTGATACCTACATATTGAAACACACACCTTGAATATACACGTATGTGCCTTTCATGATAGAGAAAATAATATGCCTTCACGTATCACTGATGCATACAATTTGTTTGAGCGAAACATGACTGGGACACAAGTTACACATCTCTGTACTTAAAATTCCAGAAAGGATGTCTCCTTCTTCAGACAATCCGATAGTGATGACAGCACGGTCCGTTTGGCTCCTGCCCCAAGCTACTTAATTACAGAAGCAATGTGATACAATTAAACCCCTAAGCTATAGTGGGACACAGAAGGGACTGGACAGGCAGCATATCCCGGTCGGACATTGACATCCACATATTTCTTAATAACCAGCTTGAAGGTCACATTCACTTCAGAATGTATATCTCCCATGGGCACCAGCATACATTGTACAGCTTACCGCGTATTTATAATGTCATGTACTGGAAATTATCAATGCAAAGCTGATGAAACTGTAGCATTCTACACAAGAATAAAAAAACACAAGTTAAGATGTACATTACACACAACAAACACTTCTATCCGTTGACAGGCAGACGGACATTACTTATTCACGAATTTACTTCTTGGAGGGTTTATGGCTTCACAAACAAATAAAGCATGAAGTTAATCTTCTATAGAATTTCTATTATATACTTCACAGCGAAGATGCAGTTTTAAATCATATGGTACATCTTTACATCCGACAATGTTAGTCATAAACTTACATTTTTCCACATCCTTTGAAAGGCTACTTATATTCTGATATTATGGAAGGCTTCTGTTTGTTTGTTGTTTAACGCCGCACTCAGCAATATGCCAGCTATATGACGGCGGTCTGTAAGTAATCGAGTCTGGACCAGACAATCCAGTGATTGACATCATGAGCATCGATCCACGCAATTGGGATCAATGACATGCATCAACCAAGTCAGCGAGCCTGACCACTCGATCCCGTTTGTCGCCTTTTACGACAAGCATAGTCGCCTTTTACGGCA